TTATATTTTTAGAGAGAGGGGAAGGGAGAGAGAGATAGAAACATCAGTGTGAGAGAGATACATCTATTGGCTGCCTCACGCATGCTCCCCACTGGGGATTGAGCCCACAGTCCAGGCATGTGACCTGACCGGGAATCAAACCAGAACATCTCAGTCCAAAGGATGATGCTCAATCCACTGAGCCACACTGGTTGGGCACAAAATTTATTTATTAGATCTAGCAGTTTTTTGGTGGAGTCCTTAGGGTTTTCTATGTATAATATCATGTCATCTGTGAATAATGACAATTCCACTTTCTTCTTTCCAATTTGAATGCCTTTTAGTTTTTCTTCTTGTCTGATTGCTGTGGCTAAGACATCCAGTACTATGTTGAACAAGAGTGGTAAAAGTGGACATCCCTGTCTTGTTCCTGTTCTTAAGGGAAATGCTTTTAGCTTTTATTCATTGAGTATGATGTTGGCTGTAGGTTTGTCATCTATGGCCTTTATTATGTTGAAGTATGATCCTTCTATTCCCACTTTGCTGAGAGTTTTTATCAAAAATGGATGCTGGATTTTGTCAAATGCTTTTTCAGCATCAATTGATATGATCCTATGATTTTTATCTTTCCTTTTGTTTATGTGATATATCACATTTATTGATATGTGAATATTGTACCAACCTTGCATACCTGGGATAAATCCCACTTAGTTGTGGTGTATAATTTTTTTAAATATATTGCTGGATCTAATTTGCTAATATTTTGTTGAGGATTTTGGTATCTATATTCATTAGACATATTGGCCTATAATTTTCTTTCTTTATAGTGTCTTTATCTAGTTTTGGAATTAGTATTATGCTTTCCTCATAAAAAGAAATTGAAATTTTCCTCTTGAAATTTTTAGAATAGTTTAAGGAGGATATGTGTTAGTTCTTCTTTGAATGTTTGGTAAAACTCCCCTGTGAAGCCATCTAGACCAGAGCTTTTGTTTTCTAAGAGTTTATTGACTACTGCTTCTATTTCCTTAATTGTTATTGGTATATTCAAGTTTTCTGACTCTTCCCAGTTGAGTTTTGAAAGACTGCATGATTCTAGGAATTTGTCCATTTCACCTAGGTTTTTGAAATTTTTGGCATATAATTGTTCGTGGTATTTTCTTAACAATATTTTGTTTTTCTGTGGTGTCGGTTGTTACTTCACCTCTTTTGTTTATGACTTTATTAATTTTAGTTTTTTCTCTTTGTTTCCTCATGAGTCTGGCTAAAGGTTGATCAAGCTAGTTTATCTTTTCAAAGAACCAGCTCTGGGTTTCACTAATTTTTTGTATTGCTTTTTTAGTCTCTATATTGTTTCTTTCCACTCTGGTCTTTATTATTTATTCCTTTTACTAACTCTGGGTTTTTCTTTTTGTTCTCCTTCTAAATCTTTAAATTGTAGGCCTAGATAGTTTGTTAGACATTTTTCTTGTTTCTTGAGGTAGACCTGTGTTGCTCTGAACTTCCTTCTCAGGGCCGCTTTCGCTGTGTCCTGTAGATTTTGTGATTTTGTGTGTTCATTTTCATTCGTTTCCAGGAATTTTTTTTATTTCTTTCTTGATCTCATTGGTAACCCACTTATTGTTTAACAACATGCTATTTAGGCTCCATGTGTTTGAATTTTTTTGTGTGTTTTTATTATAATTAATGTCTAGTTTCATGCCATTGTGATCCAAGAAGTTGCTTGATATGATTTCAGTCTTCTTGAACTTGTGGAGATGTAGTTTGATTCCTAACATGTGGTCTGTCTTTGAGAATGTCCCATGTGCAATTGAGAAGAATGTATATTCTGAAGTTTTGGGGTGAAGTGTTTTGTAAATATCAAATAAATTCAGCTGATCTAGTGCTTCCTTTAGGGTCTCTGTTTCCTTGTTAATAATCTGGAAGATCTAGCCAGTGATTTCAGTGGGGTGTTAAAATCCCCTACTATGATTGTATTACTGTCTATCTCTCCCTTGAAGTCCTCCAGAAGTACAATATATATATACGACTTTATTATTTTACATAGAGCAGAAGGAAGGGAGGGAAGGAGGAAGAGAGAGAGAAACATCAATGTGAGAGAGACACATGATTGGTTGCTTCCCACACGACCTCACCCGGGGCTGGCGATCGAACCCACAACCCAGGTACATGCCCTTTATTGGGAATTGAACCCTCAAACCCTTCAGTCCGTGGATTGATGCTCTGACTGCTGAGCCAAACTGTCCAGAGCTTAAATATATTTGGTGCTCCTATATTCAGTGCATATATGTTTACCAGAGTTATATCCTTTTGTTGGATTGATCCTTTTAATGTTATATAGTGACCTTTTTTGTCACTCTTTATGACCTTCATTTTGAAGTCTATCTTATCAGATATGAGTATTGCCCTACCAGCTTTTTTTAAAATATATTTTTATTTGCATGGATAATTTTTACCATCCCTTCACTTTCATCCTGTGTATCTTTTGTTCTGAGGTGGATCTCTTATAGACACCATATATATGAGTCATGTTTTCTTACCCATTCACCTACCCTATGTCTTTAAGGTTATTATTGATAGGTACTTATTTGTTGTCATTTTTATTCTTTGGGCCTGTGTTTCTTTCTCTGTGTGTCTTCTTCTTAGAAACAATCCCTTTAGCATTTTTTATAGTGCTGGTTTGGTGGTAATAAGTTCCTTTAGCCTTTTTTTTTTTTTGTCTGCAAAGTTCGTTATTTCACCTTAAATTTTGAATGATAGCCTTGCTGGATAGAGTAGTCTTGGATTCAGACTCTTGCTTTTCATTACTTTGTATACTTCATGCCACTCCTGTCTGGCCTGAAGTGTTTCAATTGACAAATCAGCTGACAGTCTTATTGGAGCTCCCTTGTAGGCAATTTTCTGTCTCTCTCTTGCTGCCTTTAAGATTATATCTTTGTCTTTAACGTTTGCCATTTTAATTATAATTTAAATGATGTGGGTCTTTTGGGGTTCATCCTGATTGGAACTCTCTGTGTTTCCTGGACTTGTGTGACTTTTCCTTCACCAAGTTAGGGAAGTTTTTGTTATTTTTTTAAACAGGTTCTCTATTCCTTTCTCTGATTCTTCTCCTTCTCATATTCCTATGATACAAATGTTATTGTATCATATAACATTTGTATCATATTGTCCCAAAGCTCCCTTAAACTCTCCTCCTGCTTTTTTTTTTTTTCCATTTGTTGCTCTTATTGGATGTTTATTTCTACTTTGTCTTCTAACTCATTGATTCGGTCTTCAGCTTCTTCTAATCTACTATTGAATCTTTCCAAGGTACTTTTTATATCAGCTATGTCATTCTTCATTTCCACTTGATTTTTATTCATAGCTTCTACCTCTTTTTTTATGTTATGTAGTTCTCATTAAGTTGTTTGTAGTTCTTACTAAGTTGTTTGAGCACCCATAAAACCATTGCTTTGAATTCTTTATCTGACTAACTGCTTGCTTCAGTTTCATGTAGTTCCTTTTCTGGTGATTCCTCCTTTTCTTTTATTTGGGGGTTTTTTCTTTGTCTTACCATTTTAGCAGTCTGGTAGTTCAGGGCCAGGTGAGGTGTGTTTGGACATGTAGGCAGGTCAGTGTGTATCAAATAAGACTGCTAGGCCTCTCGGTCTGTTCTAATGCATTTCCCTTGGGCTGGCACCTCTCATCTGCTACAGATCCGGGAAGGTTGACAGCTGGTGGCTCGTGTTCATCTGTCATCATAGGTGCTGCTGGGGTGTGTAGGTCCCCAGGTACCACTACTGCCTGGTGGGACTCAGCTCTCAGTTTGCATTGCTGCTGCTGCTACTGCCAGGAGATGGGTCTCAGCTCCTGAACCTCTGCTGCTGTTAGGGGCAGGGCTCTGTTCCCGATCTGCTGGTGCTGCTGCTGCTGCTAGGGGTGGGGCTCAGCTCCCAATTTGCACTGCTGCTGCTGCTGCTGCTGCCACCAAGGGATAGATCTCAATTCCTGAGCCTCTGCTGCTGCTGGAGGCAGGGATGGTGCTTGGCCAAGCCTCTGCTGCTGCTGGGAATTGGCTGTTTTCTTTGAGGTGTTTGTTTTGAGAGCTAGAAATTATACTTAACAAATTCTTTTTCCCAAAATAGGTTTATCCATTTTAAGCCAATATAACTAGGTTGTGTTTTTTTTTAAATAAGAAATGCAAAAACCTGAGGAAGGTAGTATGATTTTTTTAGCAAAGTAATAAAAATAAATATTAGACTGCTAATAAATATTCATTCAACAAACTTTTATTGAACACCTACTACTCTGCTGGGTACTGTGGATACAGAGATACACAAAAACTAGTCCTGTTCCTAACTAGCTCACTGTGTCATGGGAAGCAGACATACACAAATAACTAAAATATGACTGGATGAGGTCTTTATTTGAGGAAGGTGTAAAATGCTTTACAAAGGGGAAGCCAGCTGCTCTTCTAGCCTTTCTTGAATCTTCTCATTTCTCTGCTCCAGCCTCCCTATCTCTTAAACATATCTGGCACTTGCAGGCCAGCTTGTCAGGCACTTTTGTTCCAATTTGGTGACTTGGACAGCCCCTCCCTTCAAGACTCTGGTGCAAACAGGTTTCCAACCCAACCCTTTCTCTAGGATGCAGCTGGCGCCCTCTAGGACCTTTTCTCTTTGATGTCTCCAGAAAACCTTCAAGAAGTTACTATTTGTGCTTATTTTATCATCTCTCCCCAGTATAGTGATGTCATACTGCTATGAAAATTGTTTTATATATGCTTTCAAGCATTTTTGAATCATGTCCACAAATAGACTTATAAGCTCTTTGAGGACAAGAACTATTCCTACTCTCCTTTATATCCACAGTGCTAAACAAAGCCCGTGAGTGTGTGTGTGTGTGTGTGTGTGTGTGTGTGTGTGTGTGTGAATTGTTCTGTTTCTGCTGCCTCTTCATCAGCACCTGGATCCCTGTGCATCTCCACCAGAGATCAACATTCAGGTGTGTGGGACTTCCTTCAGATATTCTCCTTGTCTTTCTAGGATCGCAGTATCCTATTTTTCGCTGTGTGCACAGAAATACTCATGAAGAAGTTCCTGAGAGCTACTGTGACTCCAGCATGAAGCCAACCCCTGAGGAGGAGGCCTGCAACATCTTCCCTTGTCCAGCCTTGTAAGATGGCTTCTCTGTGTCCATCCCTCTTATCACATCCCTTCTCCGTGTCCGTCCCTATCATCGCATCCCTTCTCCGTGTCCGTCCCTATCATCGCATCCCTTCTCCGTGTCCGTCCCTATCATCGCATCCCTTCTCCGTGTCCGTCCCTATCATCGCATCCCTTCTCCGTGTCCGTCCCTATCATCGCATCCCTTCTCCGTGTCCGTCCCTATCATCGCATCCCTTCTCCGTGTCCGTCCCTATCATCACATTACTTCTAAGGTAGGCACTTAGTAGCACATATAATCTCATTTTTAAATCAGTCAACATATGATTTAGAAACATGAGACTTGACCTATGCATAAAGTGCAGTCTGTTTAGCAACCACCTGTCTTTCAGGCTCAATACTGGAGCTTGTAGCTTTTAGCAGGTCAGCACACTCCCAGGGAGCCCACCCTTCAGGGACTTGGAACAGTTGGGGTTTCGCCTGGTTAGGAAAACAAAGAGGGAAGCAAATGCTGTAGTCCAGTGAGGTCAGTGTCATAGGATTGCTGTGTACAGAGACAGAATAACGAAAGTCACAGTGCATCTGCCCAGAGAAGCTAGGAAGGGTATCTCAGGAGCGGCCTTGGGCTAGTTTTTGAATGATTAATAGGATACTTTCAGAAGAACATGGGGAAAGGGCACTAAAAGGGGTCAAAGCTGAATTCTCAAAGTAATAACAACATAATCCTATCAAGCACATGATGTGCGTATGTGCTGATATCTTATTTAGTGACATGACAGAGCAGGGTGGCAGAGGAGAAGATGTGCAACCGATGAGTAAGTGGTTCAGGAAAATAAAGAATATGCTGGGCTAAGAGTTCTGAGGAGTTCCAAAATGGGTCAGTGTTCTACAGAGTGATGAAACTAAGCTTTGGAGGTTTTTTTTTACTAGATAAAAATCACCTGTGCCTTCTCAGTTTTCTTAAATTGTAGGCTACTGGCAAATAGCATGTCAAACAAAGTTAATTTCCATGCAGAGTTGGGTGGCCCTCAGGCAGACTGGTAAGCAGTGCCCTGGGAGAAGGGTTACCGTGAGGGTTCCGATGGTTCTGTGTAGGCCAGCTCAGCTCCTGCCCTCTTCCTGTTGACTGAAGTGATCTGTCCCTGTCGCTCTCTCCTTCCTGAGCCAGCTGGGACATTGGAGAGTGGTCAGAGTGCAGCAAAACCTGTGGCCTGGGCATGCAGCATCGCCAGGTCCTGTGCCGCCAGGTGTACGCCAACCGCAGCCTGACGGTGCAGCCCTACCGCTGCCAGCACCTGGAGAAGCCCGAGACCACCAGCACCTGCCAGCTCAAGATTTGCAGCGAGTGGCAGATCCGGACAGACTGGACTTCGGTACTTGGGGTGGGGTGGTCTGCTCTGGCGCTCTCCATCCAAGACCCACTGCCACCCTCCTGCCTCCCCCACTTTAAGACTTGACTTGGAAGGACCCTGAGTTCCCAGGAGGGAACCTGTCCTGCGGGGTTCCAAATGGCTGCTTCTGTAAATTGTAGCGTGCATGGATCGCTCGACAGAGCGAAAGCCAGTGTGTATCACCACGGCCGACTCTACCGGGGGCCCTTGGGAGCCGTGGGCAAAGCTCTCATCTCTCTCATGTGGCAAATGCTGGTAGAGCCAACTCCTCCCAATCTTCTCTCCCATTTTACGGATGACAGAACTGAAGCTCAGATGAACAAAGTAGGCAAGATATCAAAGAAAATCATAGCGAAATGGGAAATTTTCAGGGCTGGGGTCCTCCCCGGGTAGCATCACGTGGGGCGACCTCGCACCACAGGGCGTCTCACCAGCCCTCTGTGTAGGTGGCAGGTAACAGGAATGAGGGCACCCAGCGTCACGCCGCCCACCCGCTGACAGGCACCCACTGTGTTTCAGTGCTCAGTGCCCTGTGGAGTGGGACAGAGGACCCGAGACGTGAAGTGTGTGAGCAACATCGGGGACGTGGTTGACGACAGAGAATGCAACATGAAGCTCCGGCCAAATGACGTCGAGAACTGTGACATGGGGCCCTGTGCCAAGAGCTGGTTCCTCACCGAGTGGAGTGAAAGGGTGAGTGACACAGGACAGTGGATTTCCTAGAGCCAGGGGTCAAGGTCTGTGGGCTAACGGCGGGGAGCCAGGTGTCACAAGGTGCCCCCAAACCACACACAGACTAATTACTCGTAAGAATCTGAAGGGTAATTTCTAACTCTGGGGAAAAGGCCCAGAAACAAACTGTTTGCAGGCCTTCCATCCTTCCATGAATCTCTGTGGTGCTTCCAAACTGTCGTGTACCTGCAGGTCACCTGGGAACCTTGTCACACAGCACAGACCTGGGTCCGAGGGTGTGGGGGCGGCCCACAGTCTGCATCACTAAGGGCTCCCAGTAGCGCCAAGGCTCTGGTTCCGGGATGAAGGGAGCCATCCACATTCATGAATCTTTGGAGACATTACTCAGCTCCCAAGCCTCCCTCCCCAGCATTGTGTGAACAACAGACAATGCACTATCTCAAGCTTGGAGGAGAAAATGGCACGGTTAACCCGTCAGCAGATTGGGGCCCATCCGCCCTGTTGGTTGATTCCAACTGGCCAGCACCCATTCTGACTGGTCAGTGCCCGCCATGGACCCGTTGCTGAGTATTCTGAACATCACCCTGTGAGTGTTCACCTGGGCTTCCTTCACAGGCTCCATCCTCACAGTAACAGTCCACGTAAGTGGGAGGGTTGTTGGGAAAGAGGAAGAACAAACCTGCAGAGGCAGCCTTCACCCCACATCCCAAGGTCCTCCCTGACATTCTCGTCAGGTGGTTTCTCTCCTCACGGTTTCCAGACACCTCATGACAGACAGCCCCTGCCCCTGGGCCCCAAGACAGTCCCCAGAGAGAGCCTTTGGTGAAAGCACTAACCCTTAGGATCAGCAGCTCACTGTGCCTCCAGGCCCAGAGTGGGCTGTAACAGGCACCACAGTAGCCATCAGGAAGGTGCTAACCAAAGGTGTCCACCGACTCAGACCCCTGCCCCTGAAGTTGAGGCCAGCAGAGGTCACCCAGCTGTTTGGGGGTGCCCCCTTTCCCCTCCCAGCAAGGACGGAGCTCCTGGCCTTGAGAGCGGTGCTGGGTGGGGGCGTCAGAGGTCACTTGGGCAGCCTCCTTGGCAGCACACGGAGTCCCCGACAGTGTCCCTGTCTGACATAGCTCTAAGTCCTTTGTCAGAATTCTGTGTCGAGACAATGTCTGTTTCTTCTGCAGCCCAGTGTCAGGAGGTTTTCTGTCACATTGAACCACAGTTTTTCTAATTTTTTACCATTTTAAATAATATTTCAGTAAATATTTTCATGCATATAACTTTACATGCACTTTTCCTGTTTCCCTAAAATAATGTTTAGGAAGCAGAATTATTTGACCAAGTGCTATAAACTCCTTTAGAACTCTTGACACATTTTGGCAAATTTCTCTTCAGAAGGATTATTTCAACTTAGAGTCTCCCAAGCGGAAACTGAGATCACTTTTATAATTCTTTTATTTTACTGATTCTTTACCATTTTTAAATTCCATCTCTCTAGATTTGCCATGCTTTGAAAAAGGCACTGGGCTCAGATGCCCTGTGTACGAAGGAAAATGCGCTGTGCGGAAAACTGCACCGCTTGATTCCTCTGCGGGGCTGCCATGTTTATTTAGAACAGTAAAACTACACGTAAATTTACTAGGAGTTCCACACTAGCTATTTCCCTTCCAATGAAGGCTCTTTGCTTATATTTTAACATAAGTACTTGTTGAGTCTAACCCTTGTCTTAAAATTCCAAATAAAGCAAAGGATGAGCACTTTACTCTTCTGTTTAGAGAACTTTCTTGATTTTTGGAAAAGATGGTTTAAGCCATGTAAGTGTGCTATGTGTGATGTGAGTAGTTTTGCTTTATCTACCCCCAGAATGGATCATTTTTCCTAAATGCTCATGACTGTTTTAGAGTCCATGAGTGGGAAGGGGGTGCTATGGGTTTAAGGAAGTTTATTTGCTTTTGCACCCTTTCCCCAAGGACATTTCTTATGAGACCTTGAGCAAGATGCTGACTCCCTGGCTCTCAGTTTTCTCGTCTCTAGCATTGCCGAGCAAGCGTGAAGGGATGACATTGGAAACAGTGACCTAGATGACACTGGAGTGCTGGGGAGGGCGTCCTGTGGGCTGCTTCCCTCTTCATGTCAACACTGGGCCTTTAAGCCACCAGCTGGCCTTGGGGAAGTTGCAGCCCCAGGAATATCCAGCTGATGACCGTCTTCCACTTGTGGATTGTGGCTTTGTATAAAAATCAACCCTGTTAAGCATTAGTCAGAAGTACCTGGTTTTTAGCATAAACATGTATTGACTACCTATTACAAGCTGGGCATGAATGAGACAGAGCCTCCGTTTAAGGAGTTTAAGTGGGAGAGAGAAGAGAAAATGAGATTAAAGTTTATAAACACTTAAGGATCCAGAGGGTATCTGTGCTACTGTGATTTATAAAAAACATATGATCTAACATATTTTGTCTTCATCTACAGTTCCTGGCTCACAGCTCCCAAAACCCTTGGAATTTCCTAAGTGTTCAAAGTAATGAAGGTGTCCTCTGTTAGGTTAATGAGGTGATTTTTGGAAACACCTAAGGGTAGGGGCTGGTTCCCAAAGGTGCCAACCGTGTGCTTAGAGGGTTAGAACTTTCAGTCCCACCTGTAACCTCTAGGGAGAAGCTAGGGACTAGAGGTTGGATCAGTCATTGGTCATTGAATCAATCAATCACGCCTACGTAATGAAGCCTCCATCAAAACCCAAAAGTGGTCAGATTCCAAAATGGCGGTGGAGTGAATGGAAGCTACACAGACCATCTCCCAGGACCAAACTGCAATTACAAGTAAAATAAAGACAAATCGTCAGGAAAAAGCAACAGAAAAGCAGCTTGCGAGGACCATATAACCAGGGACACTGACTCGATCCTGGTAGGATTGCAGAGGCGTGAGAGGGGCGCTGGGAGCCCACGGTCAGCAGCGGCCTTAGCTGTGAGCAGTGCCCTCGGGTTACACTCCCAAGCGGCTCCACAGCGCAGAGCTGGAACAGACCCTGAAATAGCCACAGCCACTCACGTTGGGCTCTGGCAGAGGAAGGGCAACTGGACTAGAACTATGTGGGAACACTCAGGATTTGGAGGGCGCTCAGAGCTTTTGCTGAGTTGCAGCCACACAGGACGGTGGCCATATTGCTCCTTCCCAGGGTTCTGTGGAGAGGTGGCTGCCCCTCCCTCGGAGATTCAACCCCACACAGGTGGGCCATTTAAATGCAAATTGGGGCTCATTAACAACCAGCATCTGCCCCTCCACCAGGAAATCCCCTTACTCTGAACACCTGAGGGAGTTTTTCATTCAACTGAGAACCCAAGGCTCTTCAAGTAACCATGACTAATAGCCTCCAGGCAAAAAGCTAGAGGATAACTGAACCATTCCTGGGCTTGCACCTCTGCCAAGGACAGTAAGACTTGACAGTGGTGTTTAACGTGGGTCCTCCCACGCTCATCCAAACCCAAAAGAGGGAGCCACAAATAGCAGAATTCCAACACCCACAGAGAAAATTTGGCAGGATCCAAAGCCCACTGTGATAGCCAAAATGGTAAAACAAAGAAACTAATGCCAAATGAAAGAACAAGAGACCTCCACCAAAAATGAGATAAATGAGGAGCAGTTAAGCAAGTTGACAGAGCTAGAATTCAGACCCATGATCTTGAAGAAGCTCAACAACATGAGTAAGGACATCGATACCATGAGTAAAGACATAAAAATGTTGAAAATCAACCAATTGAAAATTAAAAACCACCAAGAAGAAATGAAGAATGACATATCAGAAATAAAGAACACTTTGGTTGGGGTAAAAAAGGAGAAATATCCATAACAAAAATAAAATTAAGGAAAATAAAAAACAAAACAAAACAAAAAAAGAATACATTGGAAGGTCTAAACAGCAGAGCAGAGGAAGTTGAGGACTGGATCAGTGAATTAGAAGACAGGGTAGAAAAAAATCAACCAATCAGAAAAATAAAAGGAAAAAGCAATTTAAAAATGGAAAGACAGCTTAAGAGAACCGTGGGACAACTTGAAATGTAATAATAATCACATTATAGAAGTCCCCGAAATAGAAGAAAATGAGCAAAGGTTAGAGAATATATTCGAAGAAATAGTGACAGCAAACTTCCCTAATTTGGTGAAGGAAGAAAGCATTCAAGTTCAAGAAGCACAAAGAGCCCCAAGTAAGAAGAAACCAAACAGGCCCACACCAAGACACACAGTAATTAAAATGGCAAAAATTAAAGACAAAGAGAGACTCCTAAAGGCAGCAACAGGTTACCTACAAAAAAAACCCCATAAGGCTAACAGCTGACTTCTCAACAGAAACACTACAGGCCAAAAAGGAATGGCATGAGGTAATCAAGGTCATGAAAAACAAGGATCTGAATCCAAGACTACTCTATCCAGCAAGGCTATCATTCAAAATAGAAGGTCAAATAAAGAGCTTCCCAGACCAAAAAAAAAAAAAAAAAAGGCTAAGGGAATACATTAGCACCAAACCAGCACTGCAAGAAATGTTAAAAGGACTGCTGTAATTAGCAGGAGAGATGGGAAGAAAAATAGAACCACACTAAACAAAAATGGCAATAAATAAGTACACATCAATAATCACCTTAAATGTAAATGGATTGAATGCTCCGATAAAAAGACACAGAGTAGCTGATTCGATAAGAAAGCATGACTCATCTATATGTTGTTTACAAGAGACCCACCCCTCAACAAAAGACTCACATAGATTAAAAGTGAAGGGATGGAAAAAAAAACTTTCCAAGCAAATGGAAAGGAAAGAAAAGGCTGGGGAAGCAATACTCATATCTGATAAAATAAACTTCAAAATGAAGGCCATAACTAGAGGCAAAGAAGGTCATTACATAATATTGAAAGGATCTATCCAACAGGAAGATATAACCTTGATAAACATATATGCACCCAATATAGGAATAACAACATATATTAAAAATCTTCTGGAGGACTTCAAAGGAGAA